CCCCCCCCCCATCCCCCCACGCCAGCCATGATTTTAGGTTTTTACTTTTACATTTCTAAGCAATTAATTTTTGGCTCCCATGTAGGATCAACAGGTGTGGAATGACTGATACGCTCCATCTGGTTGCTGCTGATAAGGTAATCCTGGGAGTTGAGGGCAATATCTTCAATAAGCTTAAACCGCAGCAGCCTTATCTATTTGCAAGGGAGAACAAGCCCGGCAGCCAATATTGTTATTTCACGGGAACAACTGGGCACAGACAGCGCTTTCCACAGGGGAGGTAGGAGGGTTTTCACCCTCCTTTTTTTCCCCTGGGAGTGATGATTCACTCGGTGTTGTCGCACCCCCGCTTAGAAAAAGGAAAAGCTTTGCTTTGAAATTTGCCCCCCAGACCCATGATTTCTGAATCAAATCATCGCTTTGCTTCTTTACATCCCACTCATGGGTTCTTATGTAATCTTCTCCAAGGCAATGGGAAACTGTTTGCTTGGGGTTGATAATAAATACTATTTCCTGTAACTTCCATAGAACTACGATAGCTGTTGAGTTCTGATGCGGGGTGTGATGAGAGCAACGGGGTGTGCTTGGGGTGCCCCCTGCAGATGAAGGGCACTGCCGTCTCCGCTCAGGTTTGGGTTTGTGGTGACACTCAGGGACGGTCACCACAGACTGTCGCCACACTGAGAACCGTGTCGCGTCCCCTCGGGGTGCTGCCCTGATCTATGGCACGAACCACGCAGTGTCGTGCCGGCAGCACCACAAACCTACGCCTGCGCCTTTCCTGGCGCCCATTTAACGGGATTTCAGCCAACAGCTTTGGGGTTTATTTATCGATTATTTCTGTTCTCAGCTTTCACTGTGTGCTTACCCTGCTCAAACACCTCTCCTAGTTTCCCCCGAGCCAAACTCGTGCTGTGGGGCGAGCATCCGAGCCGAGCCACGCCGCCGACAGCAGCCAGACGGCCGCGCTGCAGCGGCAATGAACAAACAGCGTGTTCCTTCTCCCCCCGGCTGCGGGAAATGCAGAGGGCATTTTTAAGCCGGTGTCTTAGCGAAAAAGTGCTGTGAAAAAGGGCAGTGCTGTGGCAGACACGATTCCCGACACGCAGGACGGGGTGATCCCGCCCCGCCACCCAAGGACGCGGCGTGACGGATGAGCCTGGTGCGGAGCTGCCTGCCCTGGCTGCGGATCTGCCACCACTGAGTGCGGAGCTGCCGGCCCTGGCTGCGGAGCTGCCGGCCCTGTGCTGTGGATCTGCGCCCCCTGTGCTGCGGATCTGCCACCACCGAGTGCGGATCTGTCCCCCCTGGCTGCGCTCCGTGGGTCGGTAATGAGCACCAGCCGCGCCCCTGCAAACACGGCGTGCTGGCGTCCGCGGGAGCCGCGGCATCACCGCCCCACAGTTTTATCTTTGCGACATTACAGCACCTGATTTAGACAGCGGATGCGCTCGTCTGCATCCGAGCGGGCGGCAGCCGGCAGCGAGCCCTCAAACCCTCAAACTGGGGGCGGAGGGGAAGCGGGGAGCATCCGGGCTCTCCTTCATGAATAGTTAAGCTTTTCCTGTTTTATACCTAGAGCTGCTGCTGGTGTCAGACATTACCCCATCTGCTGGTGAGCAAAGCAAGAAGCTCGCAGCAACGAGGGGGATTTTCTGCATTCCCCCTGCCATGGACAGGGATGTCTCGGCCATTTCTGGTGCCCGAGTCTCCCCAAGGGTACTGGGAGCCTCGTCCTGGCAACCCACTGTGGCGAATCCCTCTGCCTCCACCTGCTGCTCGAAACCAAACACACTTTTCCTGCCCCCAAGGTTTATGTCATTCCTGGATTTACCAGTTGAAAAGTTAAGATTAAACATACCTAGTTGATTCTCCAGAGAGAGCTTCATCTCTGTCACCTCCCTTTTAAATCCCTAAGGACATCAGGACA